CCTAGATGCATCATACATGTAAGTTTGGTTCAGGTAGGGCTTATAGTAACTTGGGAATCAAAATATAGGTCAGATCCAGCATCCGAAGCAAGTCTGGTAGTGTCCATCCCTAGATGCATCATCCATGCAAGTTTGGTCCAAGTAGGGCTTATAGTTCCTTAGGAATGGACCTGCTCTAAAAACTTTAACCTGGTCACTCATCTGGAAATTGTAGGTCACATCCAGCATCCGAAGCAAGTCTGGTAGTGTCCATCCCTAGATGCATCATCCATGCAAGTTTGGTCCAAGTAGGGCTAATAGTTCCTTAGGAATGGACCTGTTCCTAAAACTTTTACCTGGTCACTCGTCTTGAAAATGTCGGTCAGATCCAGCATCCGAAGCAAGTCTGGTAGTGTTCATCCCTAGATGAACCATAGCTCTCATCAATATCTATCAGCATATGAAGTTTGATGAAAATATCTTGGATAGTTTCTTTGAAACTTAGCTTTGAACAGAGCTAAACGCAAAGTGTGACGGAAGGACGGAAGGACAGAAGGACAGAAGGACGGAAGACGGACATGACAACACTATATGCCCCGGCCATATTCATGGCGGGGCATAAAAATAGGACCAGCGCTAGTAAGTTGAAGTGAAATAATAACTAATTGAAACAGAAAACATGGAAAACACTGTATAGAAATAACAAATTGTGAATATTATGGAATACTGAGTGCTTCAGTAGTCTTTATATAATGATCAATATTCAGTTTAACTTAAACAATGAAAATGAGGGGACTAAAAAGACCAACTTTAATTTACGTTTTCACATAAATCTGAATTTTACAATCATACCACTTGCAAGAAAACATTTATACATGTACTAAGTATATAAAATCTGATAGTCTCTTTGTTCCCTAATATAAGCAATTATGTAAATTCTTCAACAAGGATTTTCTCAAATTCCGTCCAATTTTTTTATTGAGTATAATTGTTTTTTTTTCTCCTCCCTACTATGTTTACAAATAATGTTACGAACGGCGTATATATTCCTAGTAAAATTTAACTTGAGAAAAAAGTTCTGAAATAAAAAGGGGATTTTCGGGTTCTTCGGGGTTTTTCATTCCAACGTAATGTATGCATTTCAACGTTTCGAAATATCTGACACTTTGAAATTTATTCTGGTATGTAGGTCAAAGATAATTAGAGATTTAAAACAAAGTATTGTTAATTTCGACATCATTTGGATAATACAAAGACTGGGCATCATGCTCATTCTCAAAGCATAAATGCAATGATGCGTCAAATAACCTATGACTACAGAATTTTAAATTTCAAATAATGTAAAGAAAATTACACACCATTTCAGATAATTACTTATTTTTCTAATACACTTTTTAATAACAATCTTATTGAGAGAAGAATTTTTAAGATATGCTTACATTTCATTTTTGGACCCCGATGAAAAATTTTTATGGAAAAAACCTGAAAATTATATAAATAAGAAAGTGGTCTCATGAAGAGGGTATGCTCATTCACAAAAAAAATCCGAATATAATCATGTGCTTAATTTGAGAAATTAGTCTAGGGAGGGATTCATGAAGGGACGGCAAGATAGAGAAATAAGACTTAGTAGAACGTGTTTTATTTGATGCTATTATTCTCAAAAGTAGTAGTAAATGGAGTTGTTAGTTACACTTAATATAAAGTGAATAATTTACACACATGAAAATAAAGACAAAAACTTTTGCATATGAAGAAATTTCATTGTGCATAGTGATAAGTAATTTTAAAAAATGCTACAAGACTTTCTGAGGCAAAGGTTTCTGTGTTTTTTTTTTATAAGACCTTTATAAAAATGATAATTTGATCTTGTTTGACCGACAAATTTTTCCTCTTCAATCTTTACGCAAGAAACCTTATTATGTATCATTCTTTTCCTTTGTTATTTCGAAATTGCAACACTTGAAAACAAGAGGACTGCTCGTAAAGGTTATAGAAAACTATATCAAAACTCTGTTGAGTTGAAATACCTAATCTTGGTTTGGCCTTTCCAAATCATTCAATGAGTAGGAGAATATTGACCTAGAATTATATATATATATTTATGTGTCAATTACATATGCCTATGAACTGGTACCGTAACTGATACATATCAAGTATATACTAAAATCATTTATTTTAATATACGAGTCTTACATTATCTTAAAAAAATGTAAAAAGTAAGGCTATTTCTTAATCTTTCTTAATCGCTCGTTGAACGCATTTTGTGTGTGTGTGTGTGTGTGTTATAAAATAAGCATTGAAGAAAAAAAGCTGAAAATTTTAGCTAATAAAGAATAAATAAATATAACTAAATAGCTAAATGTACATTGTATCAGGCGCAGATCAAGGAACTTTTCTAGGATGGGAGAAGGAGGTTTACCCCAGTCAAAAAATAATTACAATGTAACACCCTCGAAATTTCTTGACAGGAAAAATATCTCTTTCCCAAAACACCCTATTTCGGGAGGGGGGTTCAAAGTCGTTGACCTGTATAGTTTCATATCCATGGCTTTTCAAATCAATTTCACATAGAGTCGCGTTTCCAAGGAGGGGTCCGGATCCACCTTTTCATGGAAGATTCCAAGGTCAGTTAAATTATACTTGGTTTTGTATATATACAATTAGTAAATTTGCAAATTCAAGGCAGGGGGATAACCCTTCCCCCTCCTCTAGATCCTCGAATGTGAATGGTCGTTATAATGACTTTGTTAGCAAATATGTATAGCCTATCAATGAGTTGGGTTTTTTTTTACTGGAATATTTCACAACAATCGTTAGTCCTTTGCAATTGTTTTATATCAAAATTGACAACAGAATATTCCATCTACACGTCAAACAATGCAGGGGTTCAAGTAGGTTGTGAATGGATGTCAGGGGAAATGTTTAAAAGGCACACCATTTCAACCTCTGGAATATTTTATGTCCTATTTACATATTTTATAATGTGTGTAGGTTTGTTCTGTGTTTCTATTTCGGGGTACAGTGTATCACTGTTTGTATCATTCGCCTTTTTCATTGATAAAGTTCTCACGTTCTCCTTTCAAAAAAAAAACATTTCTGTAAAGGTTTTGAGACATTGGTCCCACACTCTCTGATCAAATTGAAAAGTAATAGAGAAAAAATTAATATGATTTAATTTGAAATCAAATACTCCAGTAATCATATTCCACATTTCTAAGATATCGTCAGGAACCCCTGGCTTATCAATAAATAGGCACGGAGAAAAAGAAGCAGTCAAGGAAAAGTTATACAGAAGTTCTAATTTTGACACATTTTTGTTTTTATCTGTATGAAAACAATGCAGTTAACAATGATCGTTATCAAAAAACAACAAACAAAACAAATCTGTAAAGAGAAGTGCATATCCTGAAAATTCCAGAGGTAGGATAAGGTGCCTAGGAGGAGTAAACATCCCTTGTTGATCGGTCACACCCACTGTGAGCCCAGTGTATTGATCAAGAAGACGAAGTTCAATGAAGCTTATTTAAAACTAAAATGATTTACTAGAACACGAGCTCTTTTCCACAAAATTTTGACCCATTTAAAATGCACTAAAATTTCCAGTGCATAATTTTGATTTGAACATCTTACTCTGTTGGAAACAAAGCTAAACACGAAAATGAAAAAAATATGAACAGAAAGTCAAAGTAAAAAAAACAGAGACAGAAAACACTGCATAGATGTATCATATGATGAATTTTGAGGAATACCTAGTGCCTTTCTTTCTCTGCATTAACTCCAAACACCAAGTTTAAGGAAAATGTGATAAAAAGACAGATTTTAGTCGGACATGTCAAACACGTTTATGTTCTAGCCATATTCATAGATTGGTGGCCATGCGCGCGAGCATGAAAATAAAGTTAAACACAATTTTATCATTTTTTTTTACCAAGAAAACTGGTGTTTTCTACACAAGTAACATGTCTGATGCTTTGTTCACTGCATTTAGTGTCATGATTTGAGAAGAACTTAGGAAATAAATCTTAAAATTTTCACCAACCTTGTAAAATTAAAATTAATACTGGAGATATAACAAAAATGATACAGTATAAAAAAAACATTTTCAAACATTCTTTAATTAAATCTTAACAAGCAAATAAAAGACATAATGATAAGTAACCCCCCCCCCCTCCAAGAAAAAAAAAATAAAAGACATAACAAACAAATTATATCTAACAAAATGAAGATAAAGACTGACATGATATTAATTTTTTTGTTTATATACACACAATAAAACTCATTGTGAAACTAAACAGTTACAAAATAATGTGTATTACATACATGCATCACGAAAATACTGTTTTCATAAATTTGCATTTATAAAAAAAGCAAAATTATTAAGGCTGTGGTGAAATATTTTGACATAAAACAAGGCAGAAGCAACATTTACAATGTGGTCAGATGACGTATATTAAATACTGCATTGATTTGATTTTACTTTTCAAATGAATAACAAAATCTATAATGTTTTTAAGTTTATAAATTAAACTAATAGTAAATAAATATTTCCCTCCAAAATTGTTTTAATATAAACAACATCGAAATGGTAATAAAGTACAATTCACAAACAATAAAATGATTTTATTTTTTTGTTAAATAGATATATTTTAAGAAGTTATTCACACAATATGGATGTGAGAACCTAAATTAACTTGTTGATCTGCATTTACATAAATACTTGCAATAACAACAATACTTCACCCATGGTGTTACATCTATAGCACTTCTGCCATCTTTAGAGATTTTTAAAATTCAGTTTTTGCTATGGCTGTAAATGACAACAATATGGTTTTCATCAGAAATAATGAAGAGATATTCAGTGAGTGTATTAATCAGTATAATTCAATTTGTTTGTAGAAGATGCCCTGTAATTGACATCTGAGAAACTAGTGACTCAGAAGAAACGTACATTTCATTCAAGAGTTCAAAAGTGAATTTCTAACATGCCTAATATATAAGAAAGCAACTTTTCACTTTAGAGTTCAGTGTGATGAACTTGCTTTTTAATATAATAATAATTATATAATAGTTACAAAGTGTTTTTACACCTACAAGACTGAATTAGCACAAGTTTTTTTTAGGTTACAAATTACGATCTCTCCTTTTTATCTGTCAAAAAATTGTCTCCATCATGATTAACCTGTCTTTTTATGGTGCCTTATCAGGATTTTTCCTTCCACTGATCTCTCTCAAGAAGAGGGTGTGGTCTGTATGTAGGGCAGGTAAAGTTTCATGACCTCAGTCTTATGTCGGACATCAATGTTATCCATTCTCTGTTGTAACACGAATCCAGCATAGTCTCTGCGCTGGTCTACTTCTGGAATCACTAACAAGCGCTCCTTGTTGACTGGGGTCCTCTGTTGGGATGAGCTGGCACCAGGGAGAACTTTGACCTTGGTGGGGGTCGTCCTGGGTCGGCCATATTGGGCAAGACTCTCATTGGCCTGGAAGTAAAGTAAAGAGGGTGAAAACAGGAGAAAATTGAATCTGAAAATTTTATCTATTGCATGTTAAAAAATTATACCTGTTGGTGAAAGCCATTTTAATATTGTATTCTTTATAATTATTCATTTTATTGACAGAAGTATAATAAGCTCTTTGTTTGTTTCACAAAATAAGGGGAAGCATTATGGCCACATAGGTATATATATACTCTCAAGGCCAGTTCACATTGGATTATGTAAATTTATATCAATATAATTGACCCTATGTAAATTACTTAAAATAAATTTTGTGCTCACAATGCTACTTCCATTTTGGAGAGCTTGACAATAACAGCTAATATAATTATATTACACTGTATCATAAAATGTCACATATAATAATTATTATGAATTAGATTGCTTTCAGATCAAAAGGAATTCAACAGTGTTCAAAAATATCTGTAATAATGTAATTATTCTAGGTAAACACAATGATGTGAACTGGCCTTCAGTGGCAGACAGCAAAACAATGGTTCATATCACACCTCTGGTAGGTTTTTATAATTGGAAATCAAAAATCTTTCGAATTCATGATCATACAAAACTTTTCTGCCAAAGCTATTTTTAAAAGATATCTTTCTATCCAGGCAAGGTTTCACTTTTCTGTACTTCACATATCTTCAGCTACAACATCAAGTATATGCTAATGGGATCCTACATACAATACAACAGCTTAAAACATACCTCAAAGGCATCATCCTTTCAGGAAAAATTATACAGATTACATTATTCCAAATACAAGTGATTCAAAACCTTTACATTGTTTTTCTGATTCTTTTTTTTTTAACCATTTTCAAAAAATCCTACATGATTAAATACAACTAAATGCTTGTAGAAAAACATTTAGTGAAAACATTAAACTTTAATTTCTTTGAGCCTTTACACTAGCTGCAAAAAATGTTAGGACCATGCAAGCATGAATTCAACTACACTGTACTAACTTCTGAGAAAAAATATTTCTTCATGTAGAGTTCTATATTTAAAAGTTTACAGAACCATCTTTAATTTACCAGTATACATGACTGTATTGATATGTTTCAACTTTTTTTCCCAAAGATCTTATATTACTTTGTCCAATATACAACTCTAAAGGTTCCTGATGTTCACTCTATAAGGATCTATGATCACACCCAAGTACAGTCTGTACACATACTTTTGCAATAGATTACAATGTACATGGATATAATTACTGTAGACATGGTTATTTTTGCTTTTTTAAACCTGCAAATAATTTTGCCTAATTTTGAATTTCCCAAGACTCAATTCATTTTAAAAATTTTGATTTTTTTGCATTTGCCTATTTCAAATTTTCCCAATTGCAATGAGGGCAAAAGAGTGAAAACAAAATGGAGACCAAAAATTTCCCTGTATATAGTATAATATTACATGTTTAGAATTTACATGTACTTATAACCTGTTCCTTGCCTTAGATTAATTCTATCATATATTTACTGACCTGTGCTATAACAGAAATCTGATGCCATGTTTTGGCTCGCTCTAGATGATCCTTGAATTCATCATCCACATCTGATTTACTGTAAAATAAAAGCCAAAATCTCCTTAATGATAATGTATCCATCATGCATGTTTTTCTTTCATTATTTAACACATTTCCTGGATATGACAAATTCCTTATATTACAAAATCAAAACTGTGCAATCCAGGCTTATCGCTATAAACAATGTTATACTGTACATATTTTTCAATAAGTAGAGCAAAGATGTAATGCGGTA